GTTGCAGTAATATTTAAATTTTGCACATGTTGCACTAAAACTGTTTCATGTTGCACTAATATTTGACGGCGTTGCACCGAAATAGCTTCATGTTGCACTAGACACGTGTAATACGGATTTTTCAGAAGTATTTACAGAAATGCCACCGTGCTAGATTGCATATTTCAGTGCATCATGAAGTGTCTTTTACTGCAACTTAGTTGAATCCAATGGCTGAGATTGATTCTCATTTCTCACCCAAAGGGTTCTTCTAACTTGAACCTTACCCTATATATATATATATATATATATATATATATATATATATATATATATAAAATATTATAAACACCAATGAAGGTTTGGGTATTTTTGGTACATTAAATGTGTTGGTGTAACACAAAGCATTATCGTCTTGTACATTATGCTCTTATCATTATACATATGGTATTGCTCTTATTTTCCTCCGTTACCTCCGTTAATATCCAAGTGTACATTGTGCTTAGTCGTCTCTTCCCTGACTTGACATTGTTCATTCATTCTCAGAGTTTTTTAATTTAATTTTTCCCAATTCATTTAATTTCATTTAATTTGGAATTTTAAATGTGTGGTGCCTTTTCAGGCAAAAAAAAAAATGTGTGGTGCCCTTCATCGTTGTTTGAGCTATCTCATTCCTACTACTCAAATTAATTTATAATCGTTCCAATTGGATTTTAGAATGAGAATTTTCCTTATAAGCTTTGGATCAGTTTTGCAAGAAAGTAAATCCGTAATGTGAAGCGTCAAATAGAAACGATATCTATTACGTGTAAGAAAAACGATATCTATTACGTATTACGGATTAAGCTTTGGTGTTGTTGTTAATTATTTCAATTTAATTTGTTTTGAATGGTATGTGCGATTTTCAATCCGTGATCTGAAAAAATGAAATGTATCGGTATAAGATACGAATGATGAAGAACTATCAACCAAGGACCTAACATTTTGTAGGTTTTGATTTATTTATCATTTATTCAATAACTAATTTTTGGTAAATGTTTTTTCACAAAAGTTTATTAGTTTAATAAAGCTAAATAATATTTTTAATTTTTTAAAATAACAAAAATTATAAAATTCATGACAACTAAGGTCCTAGATAGATATATTTCAATCACTTTTTCTTTTAAAGCAATTTTCTGATCTGATCTGAATGCTTCTGATCTGATCTGAATCTTTCTGATCTGATCTGAATCTTTCTGATCTGGTCTGAATGATTCTGATCTGATCTGATTAGATCTGAATAAAATAAGAATAAGCAATAAGTAATAAGAATAAGACGAATAGAACAGCACCTTAGTTCATTTATCTCTCATATTCACAAACCTCAAATACATAGTTTTTACTGTTCTAACTTCACACAAAATATCAAATATGGAATACGAAGTATACATTTTAGATATTTTTTGAAATATTAATTTCCCATTCTCACTAAATCAAATCCACATTAGCCATCTGCTTTTAACCCTTCAATTTATATATCCGATTCTCATTCTTGTGTTTTGCTTTCATTTGAAATAGGCATAGGGTATATGCATTTTAGGTATATGCTTGACCGGTTTGAACTTGCAAGTGTACAAGTGCCGATATAGTAATAAATTCCGGTAAAATACCGGGTCGAATCCTCAGGGAAACGTTGTTTAATTTAGTCCGAGAGTAGATGACTTTAAATGAGTAAAGTGCAGGGATTTTGAGTTGTGTGTTGTTATGAAAACAACAACTTGGTTCTTCTTTTTAATTTTCAGAGATATAATTTAAATTAATTTGATTAAAGTGATTGATAACAACAACTAAGGCTTCGGGAATCACTTAAATGCTTTAATAGGGTTGAATATTAGTTCTTTACCAATAATTATGAATACGATGTCGCTAATATATTCTCAACTCCGGTTAAGGCAGCGAGAGCGTGGTTTCCGTTACGTGTAAGTCCCGTTACGGCTTACATTCATCTACCGAAAACCCCGTTGAATATCAAGACATCACACCCGTATCATATAATACCGGATATATTTCTATTCTCGGTAATATATATGTTTATCCTTTAATGTTCATAGTTTAGACTTCAACGTTAATTGCAAGCATAAACTAAGTTTAACATACTTCTATGTTGTACACCATAGTCATAAACAATCAAAATGTAAAGGATAAATCACAATTTATTAGTTTAGAACTTTTATCAAACACCTAGTGGGCATAGAAGTTCATCCCTAGCCTTAGCTAAGAACTTAGCCTCTAATGCTCATATTAATTACAAAAGTGTAACTAAGATAAAGGAAATACAATAACATACAAGAAATAATACCTAGAACCAATTGTAGAGGAGAGAAATGGCTTCTTCTCCAACACTTCAAGAGAATGCAAAAATAAAATATAAAAACTGAAATTTAAGCTTCAAGGATGGATTGATGATCTTGTTTGATGAATTGGGGGCTTTATATAGGCTAAAGATTGACATCTTTTAGTCTATTCGAGCCCAACAATCAAGCATGGAAGATATATTTGATTAGCTCATGAGGAAGATGAGTTTTTTTCCATCAATATATCTCAGCACGATCTTTTGTATTTGCAGGATCAGGCCTACCCGGCGCCGGCCATCAGGCCTACCCGGCGCCGGGTAAGCTACTGGATTGGCTGGTGCGAAAATCCGACGGGCCGGCGCCGGGTATAGGGTGGACCGGCGCCGGGTATCTCCCCTTTTTGTATTTTCTCCACTTTTCGCTCCATTTGACGCCCGTTGTTGACCCCGATGTGCCGGTTCTTGGTCCCTTTTTCCCCATTGACTCTCGTTTCTTCATTTTTGACGTCTAAGTGCGATTTCGCTCAAATTGGGATTTTTATCTGTTTTATCTTTGAAAATTTGTACAGATAATCATAATTACCTATATAAAATATAGATAATTGTTGTGCTTATCAAATACACCCACACTTGAGCGTTGCTAGTCCTCGAGCAATGTCGTCACCTTGTATGTTTTGGTTAGTTTCAACAAAGACATATACAAAAATAAATAAATTTTTTAAGAGAGGTAAAAGTGGCATATAAACTCTTTTCTCATTCTCGGTCCAAAAACCATTTTTTTTTATTTTAATTAAATACAAAAAGTGTCATTTAGATTTAGAAAACTGCTAATACTCTTGAGAATAAAGGAGTGATTTGTGACTGTGACTCTTTTGGGTGAGTGGGATGGCTTTTTGGTGTGTTTTTGACTTTCAATTGTATGAATCAATTGAACTACTAAATTGAGACCATGAGTTGTTTACTTTTTTTTTTAACTCATTTGAAAAAGGTCTTCAACTAGTATTTACTGAAAGTCATTTGATGATGCCAATTTATTTGATGAGGTGTGAGAATGGGTTTTGTGTTCCAAAATGGTGCTTGAATGTAGTATTGACCATTTTTTGGAAATGAAGGAAGGAGATGCTTTCTAGTCACAAGAATTTATTTTTTTTGGAGTAATTTTCAAGAGTAAAGAGTAGTCTAAAGAAAATGATAACTTTTGTAAATAATAAAAAAAAACTTTCTCAACCAAATACCCTTTAAAAAGAGAATTATGACAATTTTACCTTCCTAAAAAAAAATAATTTTGCACACAAAATTTGTTTTGAACTACCCATGAGATGCACCCCCCCACACTTATAATACATTGTCTCAATGTATCATGCATGATAAACAAGTACTTTCAACAACATCCACAATAAAGGTGTGTTTAGAGGAAAGTAATGTCATGAGAAAAATGAGATAAGAGCAGGGGGAGTCACTGGTGTGGGTCGGTAGGGGGGTACCCATGTTGGGAGTAGTAGTAGTTGGTGAATGTGTCGAAACGCTCCTCAAACCTTTGTTGGCGTGCGTCCTGCTCGTCCATCCGCGTGTGCATTCGAGCCATGGAATGCATCAAGTATGCCATCGCGGGATCGGTGGTGTGTGGTGGCTGTGGTGGTTCGGGTGCGTCTTCATCATCGTGAGCATCTTCCATGGCCTCCTCATTTACTTCATCATCATCTCTGTGCAAGCCTATTCCGTCGGCAAAATACCATTTTCCAGAGTTGGACAGTTTATGCTTGAGGGCAATCATTGTTTCTTTGTCCAAGACATTAGATTCATTGGTATAAGCAACTTCCTCTCCATCAAAGTCAACCTGAAAGTGCCTGAAAATCTTGGTGAGTAAAAGCGGGTGACAAAAGTTTTTTGAACCTTGTTTGGAGATCACCACATTTTTCATATTTTTTAGGAGTCGTGGTAGTGGTATCCCTTCTATGTCTCATAGGCCAACTAGCATCTTTTGAAGAAGGTATAGATCAATCCTCCTAACCAAGTGGCGGTCACTAGCATGAGGGACAATGTTGAAGCCAATAAGATAGACGAGTAGGCGAGCGTGAATGTGCCATAGATACTTGGTCTGTAGGTTTATTTTGAGCCCGAAGAACCGCCGTGCATCCGCCTCATTGTAGGAATTGTCACTTAGAATGCCGGTTTGATTGTATTCCAAGGTGGGGCCTGTGTTGCTAACTTCAAGGATGCTTGAGAGGAGGTCCGGGTCAACTTTGATGCGTCTCCCTTTCACCGTTGTTTGGATTTCCGCGTATCCGGTCTCTTTGTCCGAGACATTAGCGTAAAACTCCCGGACCAACCGGGGGTAATACGCTCCTGTCAATGTAAGCATCATTGCCCATCCAAAACGGGCGAAGATCTCAGTGAGCTTGAAAACAGCGTCGATGTCCGGGTGCACTGTTTTCTCCTCCACAATTTTCCATTTTTTTCGCTCCTCGTACCACTTTTCATTTTCAATCGAAGTGAAACGGTTGCCGGTGAAGGAGGAAGATGAAGCGCCATGATTTTGTTTTCGTTTAGGGGCCATCGTGCAAGGTTAGAAGAGAAAATAGATACACAACACCATACATTTCATCAATCCAAGGTATATTTTCCTAAATTTTCATTAATTTCCCAAAATTTCAAGTTTAATCTCAAATTATGCAATCAAGATGTTTGGAATGTTTATATATCAATACAAAGTATTTCAATATCATCCAAGTCATCAATTGTAGAAATAATTTGAATTTAAGCAAGAGATTTGGACCTAGGGTTCGAAAATGAAAATTTTGCAAGAACTTCCCCCAATTCTCAACATTAATCTCAAATTCTTGGCAACAATCATGTTTACATTCATCATATGAGCACAAGTAATCAACTTTGAACAATCATAAACATATAATTTTGCCAAAGATCGAAAAAAAAGAAGAAATTCGAAAATTTGAAAATTTGGGGTTTTTTGCCTTTTTACCTTGAATTGATGGAGAAGAAGCTTGAAGATGGTGTTGTGGAGCCTTGGGAGGGATGGATTTAGACTCTTTTGACTTAGAACTCAAAGCTATGGAAGATTTGGGGGGTGGGGGTGGCGTTCTTTGGAGAGCTCGACCGAGGGGGAGGGAGGGTTATGTCTCGCGCAATGCAAAAAAAAACGACTGGTCTGTGTTTTAAACAGCAGACCCGGCACCGGCCATAAGGCCTACCCGGCGCCGGGTAAGCTACTGCCTCGCCCCCTGCTTTGATTTTAAGAGTACCCGGCGCCGGCCATCAGGCCTACCCGGCGCCGGGTAAGCTACTGCCTCGCCCCCTGGTGTGATTTAAGATAACCCGGCGCCGGCTGGTCAGTGGACCGACGCCGGTTTGCGCATGTTTTTTTTTTTTGTTTCAATTATAAATAAATATGAATGTATTTTTGTAAATGAACATATTTATTTATAATTGAGTTTTGTTCAATTATAAGTAGAATATGAATATTTTGTAAAACTGATCACATTTATTTATAATTGAAATTATTTTGGTTGGGTTGCCTCCCAATTAGCGCTCAGTTTAACGTCGTAGGCTGGACGCAACGTACCTTTTTACTCCTCCAATGGGCAAGCGGTGGTTGCCGAGGTGATATGATACTCCATGTATGGCTTGAGTCGGTGACCATTTACAAGAAATGGTGTTTGGTCATCCTTTTGAATCATCATTGACCCGTATGGTCGGACCTCGGTGATTGTGAACGGTCCCGACCATCGGGATTTTAGCTTTCCGGTAAAAAGGCGAAGTCTAGAGTTGAAGAGTAGTACCTTTTGGCCGACGTAGAAGTCCCTCCGGTTGATGTTTTTATCATGCCAAGCTTTTGCTCTTTCCTTGTAGATGCGGGAATTCTCATATGCATCCCTTCGGATTTCTTCAAGTTCCGTCATTTGGAACATCCTTCTTTTCTTTGAGAGTGTAGGATCAAGGTTTAGCTTGGAGAGTGCCCACTGTGCTTTGTGCTCAAGTTCCACGGGAAGATGACATGATTTTCAATAGACAAGTCGGTATGGTGACATGCCCAACGGTGTTTTGTAAGCCGTCCGATATGCCCATAGCGCATCATCTAACTTTAACGCCCAATCTTTTCTAGAAGTGACGACTGTTTTTTCTAGAATTGATTTAATGTCTCGGTTGGACACTTCAACTTGCCCATTGGTTTGTGGATGATAGGCTGCTCCGGTTCGGAAATTGCACCCATATTTCTTTAGCAAGCCAGAAAAATGGGCATTCTTGAAATGTGTGCCATTGTCACTTATGATGGTACGGGGCACACCAAACCGTGAGAAAATGTTTTTCTTCACGAACTCCCCCACACTTTTGCTAGTGTTGTCGGGTAGAGCTATCGCCTCCACCCACTTTGAGACGTAGTCCACGGCCACAAGGATATAGCTTTTCCCATATGAGTTAGGGAAAGGTCCCATGAAATCCAATCCCCACACATCAAAGAGTTCAACCACAAGGATCATATTTTGAGGCATTTCATTTCTCCGGCTAAGATTTCCGGTTCTTTGACATCGGTCACACGCTTTCACATAACTCCTTGCATCTTTGAATAATGTTGGCCAGAAAAGACCACATTGGAGGACTTTTGCCGTTGTTCGGTCCGGTCCATGATGACCACCACAAGGAAGGTTGTGACAATGGTTTAAGACGGACATGATTTCCTCATCGGGTATGCATCTTCTAACAATTCCGTCGGCACAATGTTTGAAGAGATATGGTTCATCCCAATAGTAATGCTTTACATCACTTAGGAATTTTTTTCTTTGATGGAAAGTGAGTGATGGAGGTGTAATTTCTTTTGCAAGAAAATTAACAAAATCAGTGAACCATGGTAGTTGTACCTCTTTGATCGCCATGTTTTGCTCATATGGGAAATCATCTCTTATCTCCTCTTCCTTGGGGTTGGGGGTGCCTTCAAGTCGTGAAAGATGATCCGCCACAAGGTTTTCACTCCCCTTCTTGTCTCGGATTTCAAGGTCAAGTTCTTGGAGTAATAAAACCCAACGAATTAACCTTGGTTTGGCATCCTTCTTGTTCATGAGATATTTGATGGCGGAGTGATCGGTATAAACAATCACTTTTTGGCCAATGAGGTAAGATCGGAATTTGTCAAAAGCATAAATGACGGCTAGAAATTCCTTCTCGGTGGTGGCATAATTGAGCTCCGCATCATGAAGTAACCTCGATGCATAGTATATGGCATGAAGTTTCTTTTCTTTTCTTTGCCCAAGTACCACACCGATAGCATGATCGCTAGCATCACACATCAATTCGAATGGAAGAGACCAATCCGGTGATGTAATAATAGGGGCCGTGGTAAGAGCTTCCTTTAAAGTGTTGAAAGCTTTGAGCCGAGTTGGAGTGATTTCAAAAGGGGCATCCTTGGCTAATAAATCGCATAGAGGTTTAGCAATTTTTGAGAAATCTTTAATGAATCGCCGATAGAAACCGGCATGCCCTAGAAAACTTCGGATAGCTTTCACCGAGTGTGGAGGGGGTAACTTCTTTATGACTTCAATTTTTGCTTGGTCGACTTCAATGCCTTTGGAGGAAATTTTGTGCCCCAAGACAATCCCCTCGGTTACCATGAAATGGCATTTCTCCCAATTGAGAGCCAAGTCGGTTTCCTCACACCGAGTTAACACTTTCTCAAGGGAAAGTAAGCACGAGTCAAAAGAATTCCCAAAAACATAAAAGTCATCCATAAATACCTCCATGAAGTCTCCCACCATGTCCGCAAAAATTGCCATCACACATCTTTGGAATGTCCCGGGGGCATTGCATAACCCGAATGGCATCCTTCTATAGGCAAATGTGCCAAAAGGACATGTGAATGTTGTCTTTTCTTGGTCCTCGGGTGAGATAGCTATTTGAAAATAGCCGGAGAACCCATCCAAGAAACAAAAGAACTCATTTCCCGCAACACGCTCTAGCATCTCATCCATGAATGGAAGGGGAAAGTGGTCCTTCCTTGTGCCGGAGTTCAATTTCCGGTAGTCTATGCACATCCTCCAACAGGTGACCATTCTAGTAGGAATTAATTCATTCTTACTATTGGCTACCACCGTGATTCCACCCTTTTTTGGAACGACTTGAACGGGGCTTACAAATTTACTATCCGAAATGGGGTAAATTATGCCATAGTCAAGGAGTTTGAGAACTTCCTCCTTAACTACCTCTTTCATGTTGGGGTTTAGCCTCCTTTGATGCTCCACCGTTGGTTTGTGATTTTCCTCCATAAAAATCCGGTGCATACAAAGAGAAGGGCTAATACCCTTAATATCCGCCAAGGACCATGCAATAGATGTTTTGTGATCCTTCAATACCCATAGTAATTTTTCTTCTTGAAGAGATGTGAGTGAAGAAGAAATTACTACTGGGAAAGTTGAGTTGTCTCCAAGAAATGCATATTTGAGGTGCTCCGGTAAAGTTTTCAAAGATGGTTTTGGTGGGACCTCAAGAGATGGTTTTAATGTGGACTTACTTGTTCCAAGATCTTCAAACTTTTGTCAGAATTGTTTGAAAGGGGCTCCGGCTTGTAAGTACATAACTTCCTCAAGAAGTTCATGGCTTTCTTCTTTTTCATTGCATCCTAGTATGATGCAAGTCTCCAAAGGGTCTTCATGAATGATTTTCCCAAAACACTCTTTAGCCAAAGTGTCAAGAATGTTAATGTTAAAACAAGAGGGATCATCATGGTGCTTCTTCAAAGAATCCCAAACATGGAACTCTTGCTCTTCATCTCCAACACGGAATTTGACAATTCCGTTCTTGACATCAATAAGGGCAGCTGCGGTGGCTAAAAATGCCCTTCCAAGAATGATAGGGATCTCCATTTCCTCCATCTCCAAAATAAGAAAGTCCACAGGGAAGTAGAATTTTCCAACTTTAACAAGCACATCCTCCATAACTCCAATAGGGTAGCGAATTGATCTATCCGCAAGTTGTAAGGCTATGGTGGTTGATTGAAGTCCCCCACACCAAGCTTTTTAAATAAAGAATGGGGCATGAGGTTGATACTAGCACCAAGATCACAAAGGGATCTTACCTCTCCAATCTTGCCAATAGAACATGGCACCGTGAAGCTTCCGGGGTCCTTCAATTTAAGAGGGAGTTTGTTTTGTAGGATGGCACTACACTCCTCCGTAAGGGCAATGGTAGCAAATTCTGCCAATTTCTTTTTATTTGAGAGTATGCCCTTCAAGAATTTGGCGTAAGATGGAATCTCCGCTATCGCTTCGGCAAATGGAATGTTGATGCTCAATTTAGTAAAAATATCAAGAATTTTCTATATTGAGCACCATCATTCTTTTTCTTCAATCTTTGAGGATATGGAATGGGAGGAACATAGTTAGCCATATTGGATGGTGGCACCATATGTTCCTCATCTCCATCTTCGGTTTGCTTTTTCGGGGTCTCCTCCTCTTCTGGCATCTTCGGGTCCTCCGTCGTCTTACCACTCCTTGTGGTAATGGCCATCACGTTCTCCCTTGGGTTCATCTCCGTGGTTGTAGGAAATTTGCCTTGCTCCCTAGAACTTACTTTTTGAGCAAGTTGTCCCATTTGTACTTCAAGATTCTGAATGGATGCCTTGTTGTATTGCTCAATGGTGTCAATGCGTTGGTTGAGCTTCATATTTTGATCTTCAAATCGAAG